TGTTCTGCGGCCTGTTCCTGTTGCCCTACTACTGATGCTGGCATGAGCTTCTCACCGTTGAACTCTGGGAGCCTGTGCTTCCGTGTGTGTATATATACATACATACATACATACATACATACATACGTACGTGCATATATGCATACATGCACACATGCATACATGCATACATGCATACATCCATGCATGCATGCCATAGATTACATACACCACATACAATGCATAAATTACATGCATTACATACATGTGTCTTTCTCTGTTTCATAATCTATGAAACACTCTATTTCCACTGACATATCATAACTCCCTACCCCTTCTTATCGATGTGCGCCTTGCTCGGATGGCTCGATCTGAGTCCAGCCACACATTCAGGGAGCGTACAGACTTCAAATCACATCTCTGCTGATGTGCAGCATAGCATGCATAATCGAAAGCGCAACTGAAAATGCGCAGCTGCCATCAAGACTCCACGGCGGAGCTCTTGGCAAAAAGGCCCATCAGAGACAGAATCAGCCTCGTGAGCCGCTCAACGCAGTGCTCCTGGAGCACGCCAGCTTCAGGACTCTTCATGGCTGACCTGAATAGCAGCTACTTGGATAAACGACAAGCTGATGAAAGTTTCAGTGCAGCAGGGCCAAGTCCTCCATAGCGAGCCAGGTAAAGCTCTTCTGGTGGAAGGTGAAGCTCAAAGTCCTGAAGTGGAGGCGCCAGGAAAGCTGGCTGCCTCCCAGCGGAGCCTTACGAACGCGCTCCTGTTTGGAGACGCGTTTTGAGGCGGCAGCCGGCCCACGAGCCTCATGCAGAGTCTGCGCTTTTTCGGGGAGCTCGCATTTCACGCCGGCTGGCAACAACTGGGTTCCGAGCGAGAGGGACTCTTTTTGCCGAAACCACGCTGGCGTAGCCAGTGCAAAGCTGCACTGCTCCAACATGGGTCCTTGATTTCACAGCATCATATCTCTCCTGAATGTACACTGATCGCGGTGCGACATGTCGTCAGTGTTGTGCCATCAACCAATGCTTGGTTTAAGCTTTACGATTGCATACGAGAACAGCCAGTGCTCGGACTCGGACTCAAATGACCCTACAGTTCTGTTGATGTCTCGATAGGAGAAACATTTCTGCAGCTGCCCGGCTTCCCCACAGAAGCACGTTGCGTGTCAACTCGACTCGATGACCAAGCTGCGTGACAAACCGTACAAGCTTGGACCTTCAAATCCAAACCTAGGCAAGCCTAGTTCCACGTCCGCCGACGCACACCCCTTTCGATGTCAGTAGCACTACTGGGTAGCACATGCATCTTCTCCACATTGTAGCTCGAACGCTAAGGTCTCTGCCAAACCAAATCCATGCTCTCCAAGATTTCCCCGAATGTACTCGTGGGCGATTCCCCTGCGGTGATACGGGCAATGCTGCTCTCAAAAAGCAACAGACAGGAAAGCTAGTCCATTCGAAGCTGCAGCTGCAGCGATGCTCACGGCGCCTTCTGCAAAGAGCCTCCGCATAAGGATCGGTGTGAACCTGTTCATGCAGGACTCGTTAGCATTCCCTCCCCTCGGCTTGCCCAACATTAACAAACCCCATGGCATTGCAGACCATCGCTGCTATTCCTGATACCAAAGAAGCCGGGGTCATCGGGAGGGTGCATGCTGATGCTGTGAAAACTAGGTTTCACTAACCGGCCTTAGCAGGGCAAACAGCATCGCCGGTGGAGCCAACAAGGAAGCTCGGCCTTGGCGTACACGGCAGTGTGAGGAGTGCAGTATTCTTGTTGAGCATCTCCGAAGTCAAGGAAGAGAAAACCTCGTGTTTGATTTATGAAACATGTTCAACAAAAAGCTTCGGGCGGCTGAGCAGTTATTTTATGAAATCTCATGTCAGATACAATCACGACTTTATCTGGGCGTGGCTGAGTCAGCGCTGCATCCTGCAACAAAGCGCTGGCATGTTGTCTTGAGTTTCCCCTGGACACAAGCTATGCTCACAACGTGCTGCATGAAGAAAAACGAAAACCCTGCAGCAGCACTAGCCAATGCTTCCAACGCTTTATGCATAGCCCTTGGCTAACCATGTTACGGCTGCGAGAAGTCAAGCGCAAGGGTTGGCCTGATAGCATGCGGTCTTGGGTCAGATTTGTTATTACAACAAGCAACTCTTCTTGTCATCGTTTTTTCAGTGGGTCTCCTCTTTCTTGCTAAACGGGACAGCAAGGTTTGCCTTCCAAAGTTCACTTGTCATTCCATAAGGTGGAACCGGTTCCTTGCCTGCGCTACACGGAATATCTCCCGAGCCATCCTCTTGGGCTTGCTTAGACCCACACGGTGCAGCAAATCCACGTCCTGGAGCCACCATCGTTCTAGCCAAGGTTTCTCTAATTACGACACTATATACCAATTGTCGCCTGAAGATGCACTTTCTGTGAAGATGTCAACGCTCAAATATTGGCGCCTCCAAGCAGTGACTGTTGGCCTCGCATGGTTTGCATGTCAAGACATGTATTGCCACTTACCGAATCGGTACCAAGCTCTTGAAGGTGATGACCGATGACAGCACGGCGCAGATCAAGTTCTACAGCGCCTACCGTCCGAGCACACCAGTATTTCTTGGTGCTGACGAGCCTTCCAGTAGCGAACTGGCCTTCTCGTGGCAGGCCTCAGCTTGAAACGAAGATGCCTGAAACCACCCATTTCCATCTGGTGATGTCATCTGCTTTAGCGGCGTTACCGGGATGGTAAAGGTCTGAGCAAGAACTGGGACCCCATGCCGGATCCCAGAATCCTGCCTCACCTGGCTTTCCCCAGCCAGAGCCTGGGCGTTGCACCACAAAGGGTCTTGTCCCATCCCTCTCCATCGAAACACGGCACGCTTCAAATTCAGAATAGCCCAGGCATGAATGGTAACCGAATACACTGCGCATGTGCGTCTTTTTATGGAGACATGGAAGGTCCAGTACCCCAACAAACTACATTAAAGTCTTATCGCTGGCCCTGTATTTCTCCTGTGGGACCTTCAACAAGAGCACCCAAAGTTTGGTTCAAGGTCTTCAATCAAAAGTGCCACCTCCTGCACTGCAAGTCACAGCAAATATTCAATAGCAGCAGCATTGATTTAACACGTGGACATTCACCCATCGCCTCCTTTAAGGGGGGGCGTCAGAGCTGCCCCCCAAAGGCTACGCCTGGCTGGAAGTACAGTAGGCCCATCTCTGCTCTTCAACAAAACCCTACAATCGCTGCTTGTAAGGGCTGTGTGGTCAGTCTCGACTCGCCTAAGATTCCCACAGAGGTGTGACAGGCTTGCGTACGCACCAAACCCCCGTTCTGTTGATGCCCGCATGGCCCATGCCATGTGATGCCGCAAACACGTCCTCGAAGTAGACGAGCTTGCAAGAATATGCGGGACAGCTCGCAGGAAGATGGCTGGCACTCACATATAAGCCCGTGCAGTTCAAGCATGAGTATCACTGAATCTCCCGACCGGCCTGTTCAAGATATGACAAGCCCAAACGAGATCAAAAGACAAGGGATGACATTCACAGAAGCTTTCTCTATCGGCATCTACGATGCTGTGAGCTCCACCCCAAAGTAAACGCTGGCTCTCTCTTTTTGTTGGTTGCCAGCCCAGCCCACATGCAAGTCAGCATCCATCCTGCGTCTCTCTCCAAGCAATGGAAAAGATTTTCACAGACCGGGCCAAGACAGCTGAAGCGGAAACAAACCGGTCGGCACGTGGAGCCTCCCCTGAGCCTCTCTTTGTGACAAACGCGAACAGACCAAAAGAAGAAGAGCAAAGCGCAACCGCGCAAGCTGGACGGCTTGCCGAGGGGTGAACCATCGTGGCTTAAGCTGCGAAAGCTGTTGCTGTGCCAGCACTTGGTTGTAACATACGAACATACGTTGCACTGCATGTTTTAGGGGGTCATTACTATGGATCGGACGGATACTGCGAAGCCATGTGAAGCCTTGACACTCGGAACGAGACTCTCGCGAGACGGGGGACACGAAAAGCCAGATGAACCCCAGCGCTCTTCGTCTCATGTCCACTCTCTGGCGAGTACCTGCATTCTTTGCTGCTGGAAAGAAGTCTTTGGAAGGTTGTATTTGATCCCGATAGGATTCTTGTCGTAAACGAGTTCTGGCAGACCTGCAAACATCTGCTGCCCGCCAAAGTAATGATACTTCGGATCGACCGACCTCCGTGAAGTGCAGAGAAGTTTAAGGCCAGAGCTATCAATGCAAGGATACACCAGAACCTGCATGGACTTTTCTCTCGACCTCCGACTCTGAAATTCACAAAGTCAAAGAGTCTCGCCTGCGCGTCGAGGGGGTAACCTCCAGTTGGCCTCCCATTGCGACGTCCGCAAGCGGAGCAGAACGACCCTTGTGAAGATGTGATGCTCCCAGCGGCATCCGGAGGCCGGCACTAACCGGCACAAGCCCGGTACTAGCGGGCTAGCGCCAAGGCGCCTGTCTCTCTTGGCCAAGCGCAGGCTGAGAGATGCGACCTGCGACTGGCATATCTTTGAAAGTCGGCCGCCGGAAAAGTCTGACTCTTGATACTGTTTTGCCGACTAGCAACCAAATGCCCTCCCGCGGAGAATCCAACTGCTGCCACCTGGCAAACTGAAGCTCCATGTATCTTACGGCCACAGAAGCCCAACGGCTCGCAGCTTGCACAGGTGTCGGCCACCGGCCCGTCTTTGTACTGCCGGACCAGGCTCACCGCTGCCTCAAGCCCGAGTTAGAGAAGCAGCATGTCAGAGTCTACTGCGCATCAATCAAAACAAAACATGAGAGCAGCCCGGGGACTACATGGGAGCACCTCGAGATCGGCAAGCGCATCTTCGAGGCTATGACGTGGCAAAAGCCGATAGCCTCGGAGCTTCGCATGTATCACAGGTAGGACACATGCCAGATCTTGAAGCAAACACCTTTCAACAATACTAACACCCTGCAGCTCCGCAGATTGTGTCTGTGAGCAGGGCGCAACACCAGTGCTTGGATTCCATGCCTGACATCTGCATGTCAAATTTCTGCAAGTTGCAGTCTGGCACAGAGCCTACAGCACAGATTTGCAGGTAGTTTGCGTGCCTCGCCAACCAAGCTGCAACCGGCAGCCCTGCTATCGGGGAAACAACTCAGGCACAAGTACTTATGCAAGAGACTGCAGATTCGGGCAGCATTGTGGAATGCTTCGCGGACCATCTGTTGGTCTTGTCTGTAAAAGTGGCGGACAGTACCAGTAGGACATAGATGCATGCTTAACATAGATGTGCATGTATGTGTCCACGTGTGTTTCTGTGTCTGCATATATGTAATACTTCAGTGTGTTGTGACAACAACCATTTACCTAGATCTATATCTACTTCTACATCTATATCTATATCTATACCTATACCTGTATCTATATCTTTACCTATATCTGCATCTATATCCAGATATACACATGTGTATACAACTGTATATGTACATACATATATATATAAATATACATATACATACAAACACACACGCATACATATACATATACATATACATTTCCATCTCTGTATACATCTACATCTACGTCTGCATCTGCATCTACATCTACGTCTACCTCTACATCTACATATACATTTACATATACATATATACATACACACACATACACATACATACACATACATACCTACCTACCTACCTACCTACCTACCTACCTACCTACCCGCCCAACAACCCACTCACCCACCGACCGACCTACCGACCTACCGAGCTACATACAAGCATACATGTATTCATATATATATATGTACATATATAT